GATATTTAGATTGCATCTTTTTTCATCTCTATTATGTGTTTAGTTAACATCCTTGCACATTAATCATTTTGTACTTGTACAACTATATTCTTAAGACAGATTCCTGGAAGTCTGATTACTGAGCCAAAAGGCAAATGCTGATGTGTATTAATTACCAAACTGCCCTCTGAAACTGTTAACTCAGTTGAAACTCCCGCTAGTAAAATGATAGAGCACTTGTTTTTTCACACTTCCCCAATATTGAATTTTGTCTTTCTTAAAAGTTGACAAATGGCCCAAAATTCTGTCATTATTTTTAAAATTACAACTATTTAATTATTAATGAAGTTGTATATATTTCCAATTGCTTATTGGGTATTTTTATTTTTTCGTTGTTTAATTGCTTCTACTTTTATTGAGATAGTTGTCTTTTTCTCACTAACCTGTAAGAGATCTGTGAATAGTGGGCTATTGCTTTTGGACTTAAAGTTTGACATTTGACTTTTAACTCTGTACATAGTGACTTTTAAATTAAACTAATATCATTTCTTTTGTGTGTATCAAATTTTTGTCAAACACTTGTCAAAATATCATTTTATAGTTTCAAGCTTTTGTATCATGGTTAATAATGACCTTTGGCAGAACTGCAGAAATACCTGTATTTCCTCATAGTAGTCTTAGTTTAATTTTTTTACATGATAATCTTTGATCATCTGGGATTTATTTTTGAATAAGGATAAAGATAGGCCAGGCTTATTTTTACCCCAGTTGCTAGCTAGTTGTCAGACTTTATGAATATCTAATCTTTTACCCTGATTTAAAGTGACCTACTTTCTGATATTAAATTCCTTTATATCTTTGAATGTACTTCTAGGATCTTTTTTTTTCCCTATTGATCTGTCCATTTCTGAATAATTATTACTGAGTTTTTATTTCGGTGGCTTTGTACTATTTTTCAATAGAATAAGTATCCCTTCTTTTTTCACATTTTGTCTATTTTGCATATTTACTTGATGAACTTAAAAATCTATCAGAAGAAACACTAGGGTTTTCAACTAAAGTTATATAATGTTTTTTAGATTAATTGAGGGAAAATTGCCACTTTTATAATACTGGGTTTCCTTATATAAAAAAAATTTTTTTTCTCATGGATTCAAACATTCTCTTAGGTCTCTCAGTAGCATTTTATGTTTTCTTCATATAAGCCCTGGCCATTTAAAGAGATTTTTCTAGATATTTTATTTTTTGATTGTTGTTGTGGATGGAATTATTTCCTTCCATGGAATTTTATGATTGTTAATTGTTTTTTTGAAAAGCTGTTGACTTTTGTTTATTTATTTTATTTCCAGACACTTTAATGAGCACTCATATTTTTTTTCCTAATCATCTTTTCAGTTGACTTTACCCTTCAAAAGTCTTGCCAGGAAACTGAAGAAGAAAATATAACTTCTTTACTGTGGGATATGACTTGAGGCCATTAGAGAATGGAGCCTAAAATAGGCAAGTTCATGGAATATAATTTGTATATCCAGGAAGGACTGAGTATGGGCCAATTCTCATCACTGAAATGTAATATAAGTCAGACTAAATATATTAGAATGAATAAGCATGCTGTTCTTATGAGATTATTTAATATTCTGAGATGTCCTTTGGTACTCAGTCTCTCAGGATTAATCTTTGTGGGGTCAATATTATTTATATGAGCAGGAGAAAGGCTAGGTATAATTAAGCCTGAAGATGTAAGTCCTTGTTTAAGTATTGAAAATGTGAAGGTTGGAAGGGAAAACTGAATTGACTTCCTCAAGAATAGGTGTTTACTAGGTTGTGCGTTCCAGCCTTGCTATTTTTGGTATAGCCTTACAAATACAACATAATTTCTTTTCTCGTTGTGAGTAATCCTACTTCCTTCTCCTTCTAGCAAACACCTATTGCTCTAACAACCCACCATCCCAACCTCCCAGTAAGCAGGTGTAAGATGGTCTGATAATGCCATCTGGTGGCCACCTAGGAAACTATATGAACTAACCTCTTGTTGGACCTCAAAACCTGGGTTGGTCTAGTATCCTGGAAGCCAGATCCAGGCTTGGGAACAAGCAGCTTATGACTGTGGCTACCAGCAAAGGGAGAAGGTAATCAAAGTCCAAGTCCTGGCAAAGGCTGCTTGGGGGATTTGGGAAGGAGCCAAAAGCCTCCATCCATAGGAGCTGATAGAGAGCAAGGACTAGTTCCAAAAAGAGACGCCTGCAAAGGCATCCCAGCAGGAAAGAGTTGCAGAGAGCTCCGGAACCAACCAAAGAGAGGGAGACTTTTAGTGGAACAGTTGCCTTCAGCCCCAGGGCAGGGATCAGTTAGATTGTGAGCTTCCAGTCTGTTCTGACTTGTGTCTTCAGGGGTTTCCTTATCTACCTTTTTTTTTGTCCCCTTAAAATGATTTTCCCCATAGCTTAAAACTCACATAATTTCAGACAGTTACACATAAGGCAAAGTCTGCTCCACACTTCCCTCCTCCGCTCTCTTTCGCCTCTTTCTCCCATGCTCCCTCCTCCCTACTTCCTTTCTCTTTTCCCTTCCTTTTCAACTCTTACTCTTGAGTTCTCAGGAAAACCTCCCTCTTTCTCCACTTTCATTCTCTTTGAGAGCCAAAACATAACCGTAATTGCAGCTGACAAACCTAGAGATAGTGCTTGTGGGTCAACTTTATCAAGGACAAGGGAAGGTGGAAGTGAAACGGAGAACTGGTACCACTGACACCTGCATCCTTGGAAGGGATCAGGAGTCCCTTCACCATCTTCAAGGGGCTCAGTCCTCCTGTTCACCCCTGCAGGATTTCCCTGTATGCCTGCATTCAAGATTTGTGTCTCTTTTATTCATTGCCACATCCTCCACATTTAAAACAGCATCTGGCATATAAAAAGGGCTCTATTGATATTTGCTGAAGAAATGAATTAATATTCTTCATGAATAAGCAAATCTGGCTTATTCTTTTTTTTCTTTTTTTTAACTATATTTCAGTTCTGCCTTGTTGTGAGTGTTGCATTGATTCTAATTTTCACTGTGAAAGCCTGATTTGCCACTTTTGTGGGATAATTTAAGCATAACATGTGAGGGTATTTCTAGCACAAAGATAATTATTTTTAAAATTCCAACCTATGAAGTAACAGACTTTCAGAAAAGAACATGTTGGTAAGTGCGGGTTTCTCTGTACCTTTCCTTTTCGTGTTGCAGGAGTGTATCTTTTATATACATCAATGAAGTAAAAAGCCCAACGAAATGGCTAGCTTTTACCTGTCTGGACTTCCCAAGTGCTCTGTGAATCCTCCCCCAAATAGAAGCAGAGACCATTAAATACAGAGGAGAAAACAGATTTGGAAAGCTGAAAACTGCTAAGCGTTTGGCAGAACGTCTTGCTGAATATGTTTTCTGTGTTTCCTGAGTCTCTTTTGCATTATAAATCCTTGATAACAGAGACAGAGAAATATTTATTCCCTATATAGAACTAAATAAGCACAGAGAAAACGTTGGGTTTGCCTCATATTTTTCAGAACTGTGCCCTTCCATGTGGTCTTCCTTAGAACTGGAGAGATGAGACAGGCTGTTTTTATTTTCTAGATTGTTCCTGTGACATTTCTTTTGCATGAGACATTTCTGGGGTGGACAAAAAAAAAAAAAGGTCATTTTCCATTCCAAAACCCTAGGATTTCCTAACTATCTTGTAAATCTCTGTGATCTTAAAGAAGAGCTTTCACTACAGGGCAAAGGGGAAGTTAGCATGAATTAAAAGCTGGTCTGCATTAAGACAACGAAGGAGATCAGCGGGTATATACTATCCGAGTGTGGCAGACCCTGGCTAATTCACAAAGATGTGTCACATCCCATATCAGGTGTGATATTTTGTTCTTGGCTGATTTCAGTGGCAGTGGTCATGGGGGGAGGGTGGATATTGAATCTTTACTGTATTGACTACATGGAATGTGAGAAGCTACAAGGTATGAAAAACGAATGGACAAGCATTACAGGCAGGGGGCTCTTGGAGGGAATGCTGGCAGTGCTGTTGCCGAAACTTGGCTTCCACATCCCCCTTACTGAACTGAGAATGGAGGACAGAGTTTCAGATGAAGTAGAGAAGGCAGCTTTATTTCTTTGCCATGCAGCAGAGGTCACAGTGGGCTAATGCCTCCGAGACTGTGAGCCTGCCGGGGATAGAAGGCAGGGGGGTTTACAGTAAAAGTTCAAGCATTCAGGGGGCAGCCCTGGTTTCCACAGAGGTCACCTGCAGGGTAACAGACGGTTGCAAAGTCGTCCTTGTTGTTGCAGCTACAGCAGTCCCCTTTCTTCTGCTGGAGATGATGTTCATCTCCGGCTCGGGAACTCTTCCGGTATTCTTGGGCCTCGAACAAAGGTGCTTTGGGAAGGCGTCTGTGGAAAAGTTGCTCTAGAGAAAAACTTGTGCAGTTTAAAGTCGGGTTGATAAATGCCTGTAGCATTTTAGGTAGGCTGAGGCCTGAGACCTCTTGCTGCAGTGTTTGAGCAGGCTGGGACAGCAATACAAAGAAACCACAAGGGACTAAATGGAACTGCAGACATGCACAGTTAGGGTGAGTTATGAACAAGATGAGCAAAGCACCCAACTGCTGTCTCTGAGGTGTCGGGAGCAAAATGAGGAGGATGGGCGGATCCTCCAAGTTTTCCCCTCCTCTCCAGCCTAACCCTGGTCAACAAAAGCATGAGCAAAGCCATTTAAACTATTATACAAAATTACAAATAGCATATGGTCACTGATGACGATAGGGTCCTGCTAGGTTACAGTGCCTTTGGCTGACTGTGTGACCTGGAAAAAAAAATGTGACCTCTCAGAGCCTTAGAGTATGTACCTTTCTGCAAAATGGAAATAATGATCCCATTCCTTAGAAGGACTGTTGTGAGGGAGCTACTAGGTGTAAAGCCTGGCACCCGGCTTGTGGTCCTTCCCCATTGATGCGTTGTGATCTGGGTAATCATGTGTTCTCCATCCACTTCTCCAGGTACCTGGGGATCACGAGGCCGCTGACGTACCCTGTGAGACAGAACGGGAAATGCATGGCCAAGATGATCCTCTCCGTTTGGCTCCTCTCCGCCTCTATCACTTTACCGCCACTCTTCGGCTGGGCTCAGAACATCAACGATGGCAAGGTGTGCTTGATCAGCCAGGATTTTGGCTACACAATTTACTCCACCGCTGTGGCATTTTACATCCCCATGTCTGTCATGCTTTTCATGTACTACCAGATTTACAAGGCAGCCAGAAAGAGTGCTGCCAAGCACAAGTTCCCCGGCTTCCCTCCTCGTCTGGAGGAGCCGGACAGCGTCATCGCCCTGAACGGCATGGTAAAGCTCCAGAAGGAGGTGGAGGAATGTGCAAACCTTTCGAGACTCCTCAAGCACGAACGGAAAAACATCTCCATCTTTAAGCGGGAACAGAAGGCAGCCACCACCTTGGGGATCATCGTCGGAGCCTTCACTGTGTGCTGGCTGCCATTTTTCCTCCTCTCGACAGCCAGACCCTTCATCTGTGGCACAGCCTGCAGCTGCATCCCGCTGTGGGTGGAGAGGACATTTCTGTGGCTGGGCTATGCAAACTCTCTCATTAACCCCTTTATCTATGCCTTCTTCAACCGGGACCTGAGGACCACCTACCGCAGCCTGCTCCAGTGCCAGTACCGGAATATCAACCGGAAGCTCTCGGCTGCAGGCATGCACGAGGCCCTGAAGCTTGCTGAGAGGCCCGAGAGGCCTGAGCTTGTGCTGTAAGGTCATTTATCACTATTTCCTCTTATTCCCCCAACCCTTCTATGGAACTTCCTTTTGAAGCAGGTCTCAGAAAGCTTCCTGAGTCAGCAGCTAGCTTATTTCCTACTAAACACATCAGATTCAGAATCCCATAGGCTCCAGACTTCCACCCAATCAAATTCTGAAAGCCAAAGATGGGTATTCAGTTGGACTGGAAGAAGACCGATTTGCTGATGAATTGCAGCTAATGGCATCGATGACAAGGAGGGTGATGTTTTTCATCCTTTCTCCATAAATACCATCCAAATTAGGTCCTTATATCTCCAATTCTTGTAACATTATCATTTTAATTGCTGTTACTCTTACATCCAGTAAAATCCTTTTGATGACCTCATCCTTTACTGATAAACTCTTTGAGGAAGGAGGCAAATTCACATGGGCCAAGGAAGCTGTCTGAGACAATGGGGAGTGGTCAGTCTGGGGAGATGCCAGGATGGCGCAACGTCCTGAAAGCTACTGAGCTTTCAGAAAGTGCTCCCCATCATCTTTAGGAGTTGGGAATTGGTACGGAGTTGTTGACTTTGTCTAGGAAGTCAAAGTCATTAGTGACTTTTCGAGAAGCAATTACAAAAGGGTGCTGGGTCTGGAAAAGGATAGCCAAGGGCCAACAGTGATAGGGAGATGGGAGTTTCACATGAAACAGAATGAAAGTGGCATTATGTAAAGAAGGAAGGAGCTAATATAGCAGAGTCAGCAGGTCACATGAAGATCTTGTTTTAAACTGGAGAGGGAGGAGACGTCTTCATGTTTGAAAGCTGAGAGGAAAGAGACTGGATGGAGGAAATGGAAGGTGCTGTTGAGAGGGTGCAGATCAGTGTGGACGTGAGAGAAGAGGTGGTGTTCCTCTTCACAGACCCTGGTTCTCCGGGACAGGCCAGAGAACCACAGACCCCTGTAGCTGAGAGGGACCGCCCCAGTCATCTTGTCCAGTCCTTTCATTTGACAGAAGAGGTAACTGGGACCTGGAGAGTGAGCTGTCTGTCCACAGCGAGCTGGCGGTAACGCTGGTCTAGATCCTGTGTCCTATGAGCCGTACCTCTGTATACTCTCCATACACTGGACTGCCTTTATGTGTCATCAGGCTGGATACGGCTACCTCTGTGCTCTCAGCTGTCTCAGGGAACAGCCCTGCCAAGGAAGGTCCCAAAGTGTCCAGACGCACTTACACTGCAGTAGACCCCAGAGGCTCCAGACTAGGGTGCACTCCAGATAACTCTGAAAACCTCAAGGATCTCAGCCTGTTCTCTGACTTGTCACCAGGATGAAGGAGGCAGAAACAGCTTCCTCATATGGATGAGGGAAGCCAGAGGTCATCAGTTCTTGTCCTAAGAACTAGTTGTAAGACTACAGGTATGAGAATTCTTGAGCTGTGAAAAGCTTCATGGGTGTTTATTTTCACTTCTATCATACACACTCTTTTGTACATATGATATTGTTCACAGCAAAAAGTTAAAAAGGTTTTTTTTTTAAAGAATACAATCTTAGGTTTCAGAATATGTACTGTGAGCAACCTATATCCCCAGGGATCTTTCCAGGCCTATAAGATTCTTATTCAATTGACCACTAGTGTTTGTCTACCAGGACCACATTCTAAATTCCTTCAGAGATGGGGTTAGGTCTTAGTCAAAATCCTGTTTGCAGAATCTAGTACAGTGCTCAACACAAAATAGACAATACGTAAAAGCAATGATTTCTAACAGTTACTGAACACCTACATCATTCTACCTGTGAAATAGGGGTTCTGGCATCCCCGATTTTCAAAAGAATAGCTGAGGCTCAGAGACATAAAGTAACTCACCTAAGATCACATTGCCCCTAAGTGGTGGATATGGTGTGAATCACCCAGTGCATGTGCTCTTAACTGTTACTCAGCACTGCTTGTCAAGTGACTTCAGCCTGTGGCAGTGAAGAGCTATCAAATGTTTTTGAGCTGGAGATTTTAGCCATCGGCTCTCTAGGAAGACAGTTAGAAAAGCCTGTTAGTAGAAGTAAGTTAAGTTTATTAGACTCACTGCAGCTTAGGAGGACACCTCCTTGACAGACAGAGTCTCGGTAGTTTCTCAGATGGAGAAAATAAGGAAAGGACGTTGGTAGAGTTTTAGGGCTTGGGCTGTGTCACGTGAAGGTAGTGAAGAGGTGAGAACTGGGCAGAGTTTATGACATGATAGCTTTGGATTGGTGGCTACAGCTAAGTGAGGGCCTTGAAGCCAGTATTAATGAGCAAACTATGAGTTTGCTTACTCGGTGAGTAAGCTAGTTGAGTTGGTGTGCAGTCTTATTTTTTGGAAGCAACTATTTCCTGGCACAATACTGATTATTTTGCCAGGCCCCAGAGTTGGCTGGTTAGCACAGGAACAGGAAAGCATGTTGGCTTCAGTTCCCAGGGGTAACATGCTGAGAGAGATGTTTGAAGAAAGGCTCTCTGACAGCAGTGAGAAGGGCAGGTAAAATAGGAAGACGTGGCAGGGGGTCCAGTTAAGCAGCCAGTGTAGAGACTAGGAAAGAACCATTGAGGTCCTGAACTTGAAAATATGACTGTGTTTGCCTCCTATAGCCTCCAAGAACTTGCAAATAATTTTATTTTTTTTAGCTAATAATTCACACATAATTCAGATCGTTCACAAAATGCTAATTTTTCAAATGTCACACCAACAAGTACTCCAGCTTAAAATAATACTCACCCACATTTATTGACGATTCACTCTCAGGTACCAGGCTGAGCACTCTTGTGTGAATTCTATCGCTTAATCCTTAAAACTTTCTCAGAGGTTGGCTTCCTTCATCTCCATTCTGTTGGGGAGGCCAAATAATTTTTTCAAAGTCATACATATAGAGCTGGATTTGAACCCAGGAAATCTGTGTTCGGATATATCTTTTAGCTTCTACACTGCTGAGCCTTTTATAAAAGTAAATTAGCTAACATGACATCTGGGGATATTTGCCTGTGTGTCTCTAGCTAGTGTGGAATCTTGGGTATTATTTTCCTGTTAACCTAACACAGCAGACTTTCACTGTGAAAGGCCAGAGAGTAAATATTTCAGGCTTTGCTAGCCACAGGCCTCCATTGAAACCACTTGTTTCTACCTTTGTAGTGAGAAAGTAGCCCTAGACACAAGTAACCAAAGGAGTATGGTGGTGTACCAATAAAACTTTATTTACAAAACCAGGTAGCCAGCTGGATTTGGCCCACAAGTCATAGTTTACTGTCCCCTGTTCTCAGAAAATGACTTATTCTATCGCTCTCTGAATTTATAATTATCGATTTTATGTATAATTATTGAATGTTAAAATCATTTGGGATGATTGGCCTAAATATTCATTAACTTCAGGAAATTCCTGATTAGAGAATTGGAATAGCTGCTTTTTAAAAAATTCTATACCAGGCAGCTTTCTTTTGCATTCTGTGTGGGAGGACTCCTTTTAAAATTTTTGTTTATAATTGTGTCATTCATTGAGGAGGACACAGAAAACTCATGCTGTCTCTCCTGTCTTAGTGCACACATTCCTAGTGTACAGACCATGCATAAACACACACACTCATTCATTCTCTTTGTGTTGAGAACAAAGGAAAGGTGGAGACAGGAAAAGCTGTAGGATTCAAAGGAGAGGAAAATAACTCAGCACTTACCCTAACCCTGACCAGGGAAGACTTCCTGAAGGATATGGGCTTGCATATGTCTATGAAGGTCAAAGCATTTATAACTAAAGGAGATTAGAGATGGCATTCCACATGAAGGAGACATTTTATATGGGGGCACCAGTGTGGGACTTTATGCAGAGGATGGTCTGCTTGGAGCTAAGCACGGTTATGGGGAAGATTTGGAGATCATAATGGAAAGGTCAAATGAGATTATGTTATGAAGAATCTTCCATTCCAGTCCCAGGAATTTGGGATTTTAGTATAGACAAGTTGAGAAACCCTAGTTTGGACAGAAGTAAGCCATTGCCTGAATCTCTGCAAGTAGGAGAATGGAATCACCAAAGTGACAAAGACTGATTTGGTGGCATCATGTGGAATGAATCAGAAGGTAGAGGCTGGAAGTAAGGCTTCTCTTCGTTGGCTTGTTTTCTCCAGAAACATTTGAGGGCCTGTTGTGTACCAGGCATGGTGCCAGGCATGGCAGGGGATGAAAAGACAAGTGACAATCCTTGCCTCTGGAAATTCATAGTCAAGTGATCCGGGGTGGCGGTACACGTGGTGGTGGCTAGGAAAAGACTAGTAACCAGAACACCCCACGTGGTCCACACTCTGCAGAGTGGCACTCAGGTAAACACCAGTTGGCTCACCCAAAGCAATCATAATTCTCGTGGAGTCTCTGGAAGAAGGATGTGGCATCGAATCCATCGCCCACAGCAAACCTTCTTAGAACCCTTTGTCCCCCTTTGCTGTCTCTCTAGCAATCACACTTCTTGGGCCAGTCCAGAGACTCCAGCCCTTTTCTCTTCCTCTGGCTTCTTGGGTTCTAATCTCTTTAACTTTCGCCCCTAATTCCACCTTCTCGGCTCTATTTTTTTCTCCTACGCAGTATTCTTCCTTTCCTGTATAAACAGTCTACTAGATTGTGTATTGCTACTTTCGAAACTTAGTCATTTTTCCCCCCATCTTCTTGATCAGCGTAAGAGGCTCAGGAGTCCAGCAGGCACTCAAGAGTCCTCCTAGGGTAGGGAGTGAACAGAGGGAAAATGCTATGAGTGCTTCACTGGTCATTTTAATTCACTACTCTAAACTACAGTCTTTGTCACCTTTTCACAAGTATTCAAATAGTGGTAATAGAAGACCAAATATGATAATGTGATAGAAGCAAGGGCTTTTTTTTTTTAATTTGATGATTTTATTTATGGATTTGCTTTGAATCACCATAAATGGCTTGTAAATGTCACGTTTGGATGTCTTTTGTTCTTTGACACCATTACTGTGAATAATACTGAAAAGTGGTTTCTAAAATACTTCCATAGAAAAGAATTTCATGAAATCGTTTTGAAGTAGCTCTGCCTTTCCCTCTCCCTTCTCCTCTTCAATGAGCCTCTCGTAATCCCTGTCGATGGCAGTGGTGAATTGTAGCAGAGCAACCTTGAGTTCCTGCCTTGAATTCCATCAATACGCTGTGCCATGGTTTTATACTGACACTTTGGAGTTCAGGGTGATTTTCCCTTTTCATTACTGAAATCTTTCATTAAAAAAAATAAGATGAAATGGGTCTCAGTGGAAATTAGGAAGAAGCAACAGGGTCCCTGAAACCCTGGGTATCTTGTGGTGGGATGTTGTCTTAAAGACAGAGACAAACAAAAAGTTAGCTATTCCATAGCTTTTCTTCCCCCAGAGTAGTATATTCCTCATCATTGACTAGCTGGAATTCAGCACTCCATTTTTATCAAATCATCAATTAGTACTAATTATAGCTTGTTCACTTCATGCTTTATAGTTGCCTACGCTTTAACTTTGCAGTGTCTCTTTCAAGTAAGAAAGGCAGGCTATTGACCTCCCTTCCTTTTTTAATATTTTTGTTTGTTTTCTTAGTAGACAGTAAGTACACATAGCACAAAAGCAGTACAGACATGTCTACAAGAAAAATAAGCCTTGGGGGGAACGTCTTAGGAAGGAAATACCCATGGTGGAAATCATGAAGGAGGTGATATTTGGGATGGGTCTTGAACGAAGAGTAGGAGTTGAGATTTGCAGATACTAACTACTATATATAAAATAGAAGAACAGCAAGCTTATACTGTACAGCACAGGGAGCTAAACTCAATTATCTTTTAGTAACCTATAATGAAAAAGTATGACAACGAATATATGTGTGTATATGTATGACTGAACTATTATGTTGTACACCAGAAATTGACACAATGTTGTAAACTGACTATACTTCAATTTAAAAAGAAAGGGATGGCAGGGGTAGCTGTGGGTTTAGGGCTACTCAAGGCAGGGGGAACAGTATGGACAGAGGGACATAGACATGGAGAGAGGTGAATAAAGAACCTGGGGCATGTCTTCAGCAGGACCTGGAAGCTGGGTAGATTAGGGTCAGATGGACGGGCCACATGAGCAATGTGAGTAGGGGGAGAGATGAAGGCTTTTGACCTGGAGTGAGACCAGGACTGCAGCATAAATTGAGGTTCACAATAGGAGAAGGGAGATGGGTAGGAGACCAGTGTGAAAGTGAGGTCTCCTGTCTGGAGGGCCCGCACTGGGAGGGTATCATTGAGACTGGTAAAGAGACCAAGGATGTCTGGATGTTTGGAAGTTGACTAGGCAGGTGGTGAGGAAATGGAGACTTCAGAGATAGTGCTTTGATCCTGGAGGGGGTCAGTAAAGTTTTTGAACCATTGTGAGTGGCAGAGGAAGTGCAGTCTCTCCTCCTCGGGGAGAAGAGGCAGAGGCCCCAGGCTGGGGACAAGTATGGAGCACCACCGGGGACACAGCCTCTTTCCAGTGCTCCCAGCTGCCGCCAGCCTGGAGTTGTGGGTCTGAGCAGGAGCACGGCGCTTCTCCTCAGGCACCGTTGTGTGAGGTGAGGAACCAAGCGAGAGATGGTGTCTGATGGAGAAACCAGTCCTGTCACCAGGAAAACCCATGTGTCACGTCTTGGCAGCCAAGAGGGAGGGGCACTTTGAATGGGGTGGGCAGGCAGAGGCAGGGGGCGCAGTGCCAGGACCCTCATAGACCTAGCTCTCCAGCACATGGATGTCATTTGGTGAGTCCTGTGAAGCTACAGCGAGGGGAGTGTGTATCTAGAGGGACTGTGGCTCTGCACCAAGAAGAAAGAGGCTCTTCCTCAGCCTTTGGCCAAGAGTTTTCCGACTCATGTCACTTCTGTGAATCTGGGAGGAAGGCAGTGAGGGGGCGTGGCTTCCTGTAATGCACCCTCCTCGGTGTGAAGGAGAGAACACTTCTCATTGTAGTCATCATTATTCTTCTCATGTACGGCGAGTGCAGTAGTATATTGCAAGGATTATTGGGGGTAGAGCCGTTTGGGGCTACAGCTGTATTATAAAAGTGAATTTCTAAATGGGTTCTCTGGGGCTGATTTGCAAATATATTAAGGCCCTGGCAACTGTCAAAGTTATGAAACTGATGAAAAGAGCCGTAGCACCTTTTCTTTCCCCTTAGAAACCACAAATAATTCAAATTACTGAATGCTATGAAAATTAAATCCACCCACCGCAAAATGAAAAGTCACATCTACAATTCTGCTAAATCATTTTCTTGCCTCCTCTCTCTCTCTCTCTCTCTAGACAGAACTCTGACTACTGTAGAAAAAAAGTCATGATTCATGATCAAAAGTGAAATAATAGAGATGAAATAAACAAGGGCAAGACAGAGGTGGAAACCGAACAAAGTCATTTGCCGAGACGGCGGAATGGAATGCTGCTTCCGGCCTTTTTTGGGATGGCTAACATGTGACCAGCAAAGTTTTTCAGCTGTACAGAGTCTATTACAAGGGAGACGGTGACCTCTCCTTTTCTTCTGTGGATCAGTGCTGCTGTGTGCACATGAAAATAGTTCTCCGTTTCCGATGGTCCAATGAGCTCAGCAGTAAGCACACGCACAGAACTGAGTTCCAGAAAGGAAACAGTTTCTGGTGCTTTGCTTCTGTCCAAGTCCAAGTTCTGTGCAAGTGGAAGAAAGTTCCCATGCAACTTTCCATGCTTCTGAGTCTGGGCCTTGGGGTGAATATTCAGGAATCATTCATGAGACAGATGTATTTTGTCATAGGACAGAAGGGTGTTTTCCCAAGCAAACTGCGGTAAGCCTAGTGCTGAACACATTGCATGTCCACGTTAGAAAACAGAACCCCATCATCAGCAAATACAAGTGATCTCCCAGAGCCGTGTCTGTTTAAAGCTTCTGTCAGTTTGGCTTTTCCGCAGGGTCCCTGTGACTCCCCCACCAATGTACTTTCCTTGTTAACTCGCTTCTTGTTACGGTGTATCTCAGGAACAGATCTCAGGATGGAGAGAATCATAAAACCTGAATAAAGCTTTTTCCTGCACTCACTCTTCTTTTGGGGGACTGGAGGGGTCCCCGAGAGGTGAGGGAGTTTTCCCAGAATGGAGAGTGAGGGCTACCTCACCACATTATGTATTAACATGATTGTTGGCACTGAATTTTTGATTGTCATTGACACCTGGGTGCATGGGCTGGTCCCTAACTGTGAGTTTTGTTGGGGGGAGGTGTGGGAATAATGGGGTTTCCATGAAGGGCTGTGATGCCTCTGAGGATGGAATAGCCACCTGTTAATTCTTGCTGAGCAGTGTTGTATTGAACGGAATTGTGTGAATTGGAGGTCACCTGGGCCAATGTTGGGAACATTCCAGAGGATTCTGTTCCTCCCAGAGGATTTGTTCTTGTGTTCTCTGTGTCTTAAATCAAATGTGTGCCTGGCCAGTTCTGTTCTCCCCTATCCCTCTCAGAAGTGGTAGGCATTAAAGGCAGGTAAGGAACTGGAAAAGGTCCTTTTGTAGATAGTGTTTTTTTTAATGGTTCTATGTAAGATGTATGAGCTAAGGAGACAGAAAGACATAGATCAGAGGAGAGAACCTCTAAAGGGGGGAAAAAATGAATGCAAACCTTCATTTGATAAAAGAGAACTGAAAGAATATTATTTTCCTACAATATATGCAGCTGTTCTCTCATAGGATCATGTGGAATTTCAACATGGATGATGGATTTCTTCCAACTTTCACTGACATTGCTTCTTACCATACACAGAGAAAGATCTGCCTTTCTGAAAAAAAGGGGGGGAGGGTGGATGCCGTCCTTCCAGACAAAGCTTGTACAAATTCCTGAACCACAGATTTGCTCACATGACTGTATATACTTACATTCATAATTTAAATGATGCATTCTGGTCAGATACATGTTGTTAAATTTGAAAATGTTTTATTACATTACATCGAATAAAGTTTATTTGTAGCTGTAATAAAGAAACTTCAGTAATGATTTCTAAATGAAAGTCTGATATTATAAATGTCACTCTATGTAGAAGAGCAGAAGGGCAAACTTTATAGATTTGCTACAGTCCTAACAGGTAGTTAGGACAGTTCTGTAATTAATTGCATTTCACTGTGAGGATTCATTCATTTTGTACCTTTTTTTTTTAAGAATGAGCATTCATTCCTTGACTTGATTAATGAACGTTTATTGGGCTCCTGCTACATTCAGCGCTGTGGATGGACATCGAGGGAACCAGGATGGGTAAAGCAAGTCCTTACTTTTAAGGAGTTTGCCATCAGATAGAAGGCAGACATTTCCCAGATTGTCACCACATAGTAGAGTAGTTGGTAGGGAGCGCCATGTTTCTTTCCTGTAGTATAATATGATGGGTTGTTATAGTTAATTGGATTGATTTAGACTTTCACATGTGTTTGATTTTTTTATTAGGATTTTAGTTATTCGAATTGGCTCTTTATCCCACCTGATGTGAACGCCTGACATTGAACTCTCTGCTTCATTCTGGCTACAGGGGCTGGACACAGGACACTGTGCTTTCCGCGTACGACAGCCAAAGGAAAGGAAAAGATAGAAATTGAGAGAGAATGAGAAAAATATCAAACCGTTTATACTATTTCACCTACAATATAGTTTGTGCCAAAGTTGTGGCTTGTGTGCTAACTAGGAATTGGGAAAAATCACTGAAGCAAACATTTTACGTATGTTTTATGACAATTGGGCAAGAATGACTGTTATGACTAATCTCCTTGCTCTAGGGTATCAGCTGTCATCTTCTGGTAAGGCTGAGTATTGGGAAATGGTGCTGGAGAAATAACGTACTTGGAAGAGATACCTCAGTGACTGTTGCCTTCATGTTGAGTTTTATTTTGTAAATATTAAACAAGACACTTACAGAGTTCCTAGGTTTCTGGAAACAGTTTCGTACCTTCTTAAAGCATCTACCATGGTGTCCTCCTATGCTTGAGATGCGTGTATATGTTTCTGATGATCATATTTTCATGCAGTTTTTTCAGACTCATTGATAACAGGCATGATGAGCTTAACAATCCGAGTAGAAAATTCAGGCAACTTTTCAAATATTTTATGCTAACATAATAACTTTTGAATTGCATGTGAAGGTGATGGGAATTTTCCTTTCAGCATTTTGATTGTGACCTGAGTACTCAATTTAATGGATAGAAATATTTGCAAATCCTGCATTTTTTAAACAGTCCATACTCCTCCCCATGTGAGTACCTTCACGCATGCTTCCCCTCTCTGTCTGGAATCTTCTTCCTGTTCTCAATTATTTCTTCAACGTATGTCTTCATCATTGTTCAGTAATTCTTCAAGGGCATGGACTGTGTCTGTTTTTTTCATCAGTATGTCCACCGCCGAGCACCATGCTTGGAACATATATGGTAGGAAAATAATAAATATTTCTTTTTTTATTGAAGTTTAATTGATTTACAATATTGTGATTCAGTTATTTTTTTTCATATTTTTCCCATTTTTGGTTATTACAAGATAATAATAACTGAGTAGTATTCCCTGTGTTATACAGTAAGTCCTTGTTGCTTATTATTTTATACATAGTGTTTACCCGTTAATCCTGTACTCCTGATTTATCCCGCTCTCCCATCCTTTTCCCCTTTGGTAACCATAAATCTGTTTTCTGTGTCTGTGAGTCTGTTTCTATTTTGTAAGTAGATTCATTTGTATTATTTTTTAGGTTCCACATACAAGTGATACCATATGATATTTGTTTCTCTCTGTCTGACTTCACTTAGTGATATTCTCTGGGTCTATCCATGTTGCTGCAAATGGCAATATTTCATTATTTTTTATGTCTGAGTTATATTCATGGCTGTGTATGTGTGTGGGTGTGTGTGTAGTCACAACATCTTTATCCAGTCATCTGTTGATGGACACTTAGGTTGCTTCCATGTCTTGGTTATTGTAAATGGTGCTGCTGTGAACGTTGGGATGCTTGTATCTTTTCAAATTAGAGTTTCTGTCTTTTCCAGATATATGCCCAGGAGTGAGATTGCTGGATCATACGGTAAGTCTATTTTCAGTTTTTTGAGTTCTCCATAGTGGTTGTACCAATTTACATTCCCACCAACAATGTCAGAGGGTTTCCTTTTTTACACACCCTCTCTAGCATTTATTATTTATAGGCTTTTTGATGATGGCCATTCTGACCTGTGTGTGGTGATTCCTTACTATGGTTTTGATTTGAATTTCTCTAATTATTAGCAATATTGACCATCTTTTCATGTGCCTGTTGGCCATCTGTATGTCTTTGGAGAAGTGTCTATTTAGGTCTTCTGCCCATTTTTTTTATTGGGTTGTTTTGGGTTTTGTTTTTTTTTTTGATATTGAGTTGTATGAATTGTTAGCATATTTTGAAAATTAACCCCTTGTTGGTTGCATCATTTGGAAATATTTTCTCTCATTCTGTAGGTTGTATTTTCTTTTTGTTGATGGTCTCCTTTGTTGTGCAAAAGCTTTTAGGTTTGATTAGGTCCTATTTATTTACTTTTGTCTTTTATTTCTTTTGCCCTGGAAGACTGATCTAAGAAAATATTGCTATGATTTATGTTCGAGAGTATTTTTGCCTATGCTCTCTTCTAGGAGTGTATGGTATCATGTCTTTTATTTAGGTCTTTAAACCATTTTGGGTTTATTTTTGTGTAAGGTGTGAGGGAGTGTTCTAGCTTCACTGACTTACATGCAGCTGCCCAGCTTCCCTAACACCAGTTGCTGAAGAGATCCTCTTCTCCATTGTGTATTTTGCCTTCTTTGTTGAAGATTAATTGACTGTAGGTGTGTGGGTTTATTTCTGGGCTTTAATTCTGTTCTGTTAATGTGTATGTCTGGGTGTGTGTGTGTGTGTGTGTGTGTGTGTGTGTGTGCCAGTACTACACTGCTTTGATAACTGTGCCTTGCAATATTCTCTGAAGTCTGGGAGGATTATGCCTCCAGTTTTGTTTCTTTTCTTCATGATTTCTTGAGCAATTCTGGATCTTTTCTGGTTCTATATAAATTTTCGGATTATTTGTTCTAGCTCTGTGTAAAATGTCATGAGTATTTTGACAGGGATAGCATTAAATCTGTAGATTGCTTTGGGTAGTATGGCCATTTTAACAAGATTAATTCTTCTAATCCAAAAGCACGGGGTGTCCTCCATTTCTTTGAATCATCTTCAGTTTCCTTTATCAGTGTTTCCTTTTTCAATGAAAGAACTTATACCTATCATTCTCAAACTATTCCAAAATATTAAAAGAGGAAGGAACACTCCCAGAGTTATTCTATGAAGCCATCATAACCCTGATACCAAAACCAGAGTAAGACATTACCAAAAAAGAAAATTACAGGTATCTGTAATTTGATGAATATAACTGCAAAAATCCTCAACAAAATTTTAGCAAACCAAATCCAAAAATACAGAAAAAGAATCATAATCCATGATCAAGTTGGATTTATTCCAGGGTCACAAGGATGGTTCAACATCTGCAAATCAATTCACCACAGTAACAAAAGAAAGGACAAAAACCATGTGATCATCTCAATGAATGCAGAAAAAGAATTTGATAAAATTCAACATCCTTTCATGACAAAACTCTCATCAAAATGGATGCAGAAGGAACATATCTCAACATAATGAAAACTATTTATGACAGACCCACAGCCAACATAATACTCAGCAGTGAAAAGCTGAAAGCCTTTCTGCTAAATTCTGGAACAAGGCAAGGATGCCCACTCTCAGCACTTCTATTCAACACAGAAATCAGACAAGAAAAAGAAATAAAAGGGATCCAAATTGGAAGGAAAGCGGTAAAAATGTCATTATACAGGATGATACTCTATATAGAAATCCCTAAGGAATCCACACAAAAACTATTAGAATTAATAAATGAATTCAGCAAGGTGGCTAGATACAAGATTAATATACAAAAATCTGTTGCATTTCTTTACACCAACAATAAAATATCAGAAAGAGTGAAAAAACAATCCTGTTTAAAATCACATAAAAAAAAATGCTTGGGCATAAAC